TACTCATAGTCAGAGGTAGGAGCTTGTGTTCCTGTTTTAGGTAAAGAGCTAAGAATTGTTCAGAGTCAAAACTAATCACGGTTGCCTGAGCCTCGATGCAGCCAAGTCTGTCAGACTCTTAAGCTGTGTATCGCCTATTATCGATCATCATGGATTTCTTTGAATAAATGCCTAGAAAATTATCCTTATAAATGATTTCTAATTCTGGCTTTGAGATCTTGCAGTGGTTTTTACCTTTGGTCTAGTTTTTTTTTTTTTTTTGGAGAGGTTTTTGCTATAGGGTGTGGGGGCTCGCCAGACAGAGACAGAGAGACAGAAAGCGAGAAATCACCCCCCAGGAGGGGATGGCCACGCCACAATCCCTTCTCCTCCAGTCTCCTCTTGGGATGTTGGGCACGCACGCACACGCTCCCGGCGTAAGTTTTTAAGCCACCAGGTCTGGGATGTGAACCGCGGTCGACTACGTGGGAGTCCAGCGACATAGCCATTACGCTAACTGCTGGTCCCCCTTTGGTCTAGTTTTTGAAAAAGAGAAAGGAGGAGTGGAGGTTCTATGGGATTCTAAAATAATGGCTTTTGAAAGGTCCACTTTTCAAATAAATAACATACATATTTCAAAATAAATTGCTTATGAAATGAAAGTAAACCACTGGTACCCTCAGGAGAAATAAGAGACTGTTCTTGAAGTTCCAGGTCAAATAATTTGTCAGGGTAATTTTTCAAAGAATAACTTAAGCATTGTAGAAAAATTAGGTATGAATTTCTTAACATACAACTAATGAAATATTCAAATTATGACAAGTGTCTGCTTGTTCATAAATGAATGAATGGGGATCTACCCAGCAGGCATAGAGGGGCTCCTTGAAGAACTCATGTCATATCTTCAGTACAGAGTCTCCTAATGTGTTAGGTTGTTGGGAAAGTAATGCTGTATTTTTCTCTGCAAAATTGCATCGTGACTTTCCCAATGACTCAATAGTTGTATAAAATGACATCTCTTCACATAACCTTATTTATTTGTTATAAGATCCCTATAAGATGGGCTGGCCAAAAATTACATAATGTAACTACATGATCAGTGATTTACTAAGGGTCACACAGCTAGCTAATTTGGTTCATTATGTCAGCATAGCACATGTAGAATATATGGTAGGCATAAGTGTATGCCTCAAATGTTTGTTCAAGTACTATCATTAAACTCTTCTTTAACTTATGTGCTCTGCAAATAATCATCCTACATACTAACATATTTTGAGAAATAGTTAAGAGATATCTTATACCTTTTGCTGCTATAGATTGAAGTTTTAAGATATAATTTTGACTAGTTAGCAGAAATATAATCTTGACTGTTCTGTAGAAAAAATAAGGACCCTACTAAAAGTTTCCACTGAACATAGAATGTTTTGCTCATATTTTCAAAATCTGTGCCACCTGGAAAGGAAAATTAGTATCGACCAGTTCTTTTATAGGAATTTCTAAGTATAGGTAAAGAAACAGAATTATACTCAATACCCATTTGCTGGAGATGGGACAAAGAAAAGAGAAAACAGGGTAATAATCTTAAGATGCTTACCATCAAGTCTCTTCAGCAGGTCATTCTTTGGTAAAGAAATTACTTCCACAAATTCTAAACAAACAAAGTGCAAGTGAAAAAAAGCTAAAGAACCAAGAGCCTACCAGACAACCCAAGATGTATGTAGCCTTTACCACTACCCTAAGCCATACACATGGTCAGCCACTGGGAGTTGAAAACATACCTCCATCCCCTGCAAATAAACAGAAGGAGAGCATTTTAGCAAGACGTGGAGTGGTAAGACAGAAGACTTGTGCAAGATAGTAAAAGGGCTGTGAGAATTGAACAGAAACCTGGGTTCTTGCTAACTAAAGTTACACACATGGGAAAACTAATTCCAACAGTACAAAGTCACTATCTTCTAAATCAAATGTTTGGTAGCAAAATTGAAAACAAAGTCTGTAAAAATACATATTCATGGCCCTCATTTAAAGATCTATCCACCTATACATAGTGGTTAAAATATAAGTAACAAAATTTACCATCTTCTAGTGCGTGTGCGTGTGTGCCCAAGATCCCAAGAGGAGAATGGAGGAGAAGGGATTGTGGCATGGCCGCCCCCTCTGGGGGGTGATTTCTCGCTTTCTGTCTGTCTCTCTCTCTGTCTAGTGAACACATGCATCCTATAGCAAAAATCTCTAAAAAAAAATTTACCATCTTCTAGTGCGTGTGCGTGTGTGCCCAAGATCCCAAGAGGAGAATGGAGGAGAAGGGATTGTGGCATGGCCGCCCCCTCTGGGGGGTGATTTCTCGCTTTCTGTCTGTCTCTCTCTCTGTCTAGTGAACACATGCATCCTATAGCAAAAATCTCTAAAAAAAAATTTACCATCTTCTAGTGCGTGTGCGTGTGTGCCCAAGATCCCAAGAGGAGAATGGAGGAGAAGGGATTGTGGCATGGCCGCCCCCTCTGGGGGGTGATTTCTCGCTTTCTGTCTGTCTCTCTCTCTGTCTAGTGAACACATGCATCCTATAGCAAAAATCTCTAAAAAAAAATTTACCATCTTCTAGTGCGTGTGCGTGTGTGCCCAAGATCCCAAGAGGAGAATGGAGGAGAAGGGATTGTGGCATGGCCGCCCCCTCTGGGGGGTGATTTCTAGCTTTCTATCTCTGTCTCTCTCTCTGTCTAGTGAACACATGCATCCTATAGCAAAAATCTCTAAAAAAAAATTTACCATCTTCTAGTGCGTGTGCGTGTGTGCCCAAGATCCCAAGAGGAGAATGGAGGAGAAGGGATTGTGGCATGGCCGCCCCCTCTGGGGGGTGATTTCTAGCTTTCTATCTCTGTCTCTCTCTCTGTCTAGTGAACACATGCATCCTATAGCAAAAATCTCTAAAAAAAAATTTACCATCTTAATTATTTTTAAGGCATGAAAAAAGTATTGTGTCATCCTCTCCATTATTCTGAACTTTTTCATCATCCTACAACAGAAATTTGGTACCCACTAAACAGCAACTCCTCATCTCTAGTAACCTCTATTCTACTTTCTGTGTCTGTGAATCCGTGTACTGGGTATCTCATCCAGGTAAAATTACACACTTCCCCTTTTGTGGCTGACTTCTTTCACTTAGCACATAATTTCAAGGTTCCTTTATGTTGTCACATGTGTCAACATGTTTCATTCTTTTATGTCTGAATAATACCCTATTTATACCACTTTTTGTTTACTCATCAGTTGATGGACACTTGGGCTGTTTTACTACCCCTAGCTGCTGTGAATGATGCTACTATAAAAGTTTATCTGTTTAAGTCCCTGCTGTGAGTTCTTTTAGGTACATATCTATGAATGGAAATGCTGGATCATATAGTTACTCTATATTTAGCCTTCTGAGGAACTGCCAAATTGTTTTCCAAAGGGTGTCATGTGTAAACTTGTGGTTAAAATTAAGCACTTAATATTAGGTGCAATGGGATACTGAAACATAGATATGAACAACTTAAAGAGGGTAAGAAAGAATATTACTCATATGTGATTTACTATGACATATATGTAAATACCCTTTTTAAGGTGTTAGGAGAAGACATGGAATTGACAGAGCATTAAGACTTTGGAATAAAAAATTTTAAAGAAATAACAGAGCAAGGAATTTCCTAACAGCTTCTTTAAATACAAAATCCAATAAGGAATAGTTAATAACCTGCTGCCCTTAACAATTATTTTCAGTTTTCAAGAAGACCAAAACAAAGGTGGTTTTATTTACTATTTAGACCTGAAATTCCTATTACTAACTGGGAATAAACTTCACATGGAAAAATATGTAAAAGTGTAATTTAACATTTTATATAAAGAGGACATAAAAATCAACAAAGTGGTAAAAACAATGCTAAAATAGACAAGATTAGGAAAATAGGAGTACAGACAAGGTAGCTTTAAAAACAGATTCTTTCAGCAAAAAACTGATTTTATTTTTCCCTTTTTTTTTCTATTGGGCGTGTGTGCACGCCAGAGAGAGAGAGACAGACAGAAAGCGAGAAATCACCCCCCAGGGGGGATGGCCATGCTGCAATCCCTTCTCCTCCATTCTTCTCTCAGGATCTTGGGCACATACGCACATAGACCCAGCGTGAGTTTAAGCCACCAGGTCCAGGACTCAAACCGCAGTTGACCACACGGGAGTCTGGCGACATAACCGTTATGCCAACTGCTGGTCCCAAGACTGATTCTTTTAACAAATGAAAAATAAAACTAGTAGCATAGTAAAAGACATTTAATGCAGTCACTCTAAATGTAACCAATACACACTTACCTGGCTTTGGCTTAGGTCTTACATTTTCTGCATCATCTCCATTAATGGTTACTGTCACGATGTGTGTGGTACAGTTTGACAAACCTGGATCCATACATACAGCTGTGGACAGAAGTGATAGGTTGCCTTAAAGGAACCTATAAGAGGCCTTGGTCCCTTTATCATCTTTCTCTTCTTAAATGTTTTAAGAGGAAGACAGTTAACATGGCACTGACACAGGAAACGACAGTTACCCTATTTACGTGGCCTATGTTGTGGGATTATAGAATGCACATGTATAAAGCACTCATATTTTCCCTCGAGTTCCCGAGCTGTGCTAGGTTGAGGGATGAGATGGTACTGCTGAACTGCAAAATCCCTTCACCATATTAGGAAAAATAATCATCTGCAGAGGACTGTAGCACGTGGTTGACTAAATAAAGCTTACAATGTGGGAAATTTTTTTTTTTTTGAGAGTTTTTTGCTATAGGGTACATGCGCTCACCAGAAAGACAGAGAGAGACAGAGACAGAAAACGAGAAATCACCCCCCAGGGGGGATGGCCACACCGCAATCCCTTCTCCGTTCTCCTCTCGGCATGCACGCACACATGCCCGGTGTGAGTTTAAACCACCAGGTCTGGGACTCAAAATGCAGCTGACTACATGGGAGCCCAGTGACATAGACATTATGCCATCTGCTGGTCCCAAGTGTGTCAATTTTATTATTTTTTTTGTTGTTGGAGAGGTCTTTTATTTTGCTATAGGGTGCATGTGCTCGCCAGTAAGACAGAAAGAGACAGAGAGAGAGAAAGTGAAAAATCAGCCCCCAGGGGAATGGCCATGCTGCAATCCCTTCTCCATTCTTCTTTCAGGATCTTGGGCACCCACGCACACACACCAGCGTGAGTTTAAGCCACCGGGTCTGGGACTCGAACCATGGTTGACTACATGGGAGTTCAGTGACATAGCCATTATGCAAACTGCTGGTTCCAGTGTGAAATTCTTAGAAGAAAATTTAATTTCATAATTCTTCTTCAGCTTTGGGTCCTTCTTGATCAACTTTTCTCTCATGGAGAGGAGAAATACACTTAGAGGTAGTGACTGATCTTAATCTGTGATTTCTCTTTAGCAAATCAACCAAAATAAAAGCCATCTGAATTTTGACTATAAAGAACACCCAAGTAATCAGTCCCTTTATATTCAGAGGGATCTTGTATTGCTTGGTTAATTTTCAAGAGTTTGACCCTGAATGCAAACATGGAAAACAATACGAACCTGGAGAACATTCAGCGACATCACCTTTATAGCCTGTTTCTTCCTCAAGTTCCCGAAGAGCAGCTGCTTCTGGGCTTTCATCATCATCTATGAGACCTGAAAGTCCAAATCATCTGTCAGGCGGGATGGGGAAATTTCACTCTCTTTGAACCTCTGTTTCATCTAAAGTAGTTGTTGCTGAGCTGTGTTAGAAGAATCGGAGAACTATGAAAAGTGGCCCTATAGATAAAAAGGTTTGGAACTTTTATAGAAAAACAAAAAAAAGGTAGAGGAATAAAAACCCTAGGCAGATTGAGGTTCTGATGGGCACCATCTGTTCCTCTTATTTAACTCTAGGTTTTTGTTGTTGTTGTTTTAAATTTGCTATAGGGCACGTGCTCACTGGAGCCAGAGAAAGAGAGAGCGAGCGAGCGAAAGAGCACTCCCTAGGAAGATGGCCACTCCACAGTCCCTTCTACTCTGAGATCTTGGGCGCATACGTACATGCGACCAGTGTGATTTTCAAGACGGAAGGTCTGGGATTCAAACCATGCAGATGGCTATATGGGATCTAGCTGCCTTAACCACCAAACCACTGGCTGGCCCTGGATTTTTCTCATGACATCTCAACCTGTTTGTATAGCATGGAGAGCATTAGTGAGGATAAGTGACTTAGGTTCCTAAATAGCCCAGGTTGGGAACTGGCTCTGTGACGATAGCCCAGGAAGCTTGTATGTTTTTGTTACCTTATATATGAGATAGTGACAGTATTAACCTGTCTTGCCCTCCTCCCTCACAGAAGAACACTGGGGCCCTGTAATAAAACACCAGAAAGGAGCAAACTGAAGGCTGGTGGACTTCAGGACTTCAGGTAACTACTCTGTGCCTGTAAGGAGGAAAGAGGACAAGTGGGAGGATGAGAATAGCAACTCATATTCTTTATCTGAAAAAAAATTAAAAATGTAAAGAAAAGATGAAATATAGACTATTCAATTACTTTTAGTGTTTTTTTTTTTTTTTTCCTAGTAAAATGGCAAGTAAATGAGAAAATATTGGGTTGTCAGAAAAGTCATGATGCATTTTGCATAGAAAAATATGTCATGACTTTTCCCACAAACCAGTAATTGTTAACTATATGTTATCATGGGCTGGGCTTTAAAAATATAAAACTTATGGGCCAACCTCATAGTGCAGTGGCTAAGGCCTGTGCTTAAGGAGCTGGATCTCACATGGTTGACTGTGGTTCAAATCCCAGCCCCAGTGGTTTGAACATGCCAAACATTATGTGTATGTATGCAAAAAATCCTGAGGAAATGGAGAAATGGAGGAAAAAGGATTGTGGCATGACCACACCCTGTTGGGGATGGTGCTTTCTCTTTCTATATGACAAGTGCTGCACATACCCTCTGGCAATTAAAAATAAAAGAACAAAACCTACACCACAAATGACAAATATATAAGACTTAACTCTTCATATGAGAACAATCCATTCAAGTACCACAGTAATATAGCACATAAAATTCTGGGACCAGCAGTTGGCGTAATAGCTATGTCACTGGATGCCCATGTAGTCGACTGCAGTTTGAGTCCCGGACCTGGTGGCATGTGCGTGCGTGCCCAAGATCCCGAGAAGAGAGTGGAGAAGGGACTGCGGTGTGGCCATCCTGCATGAGGGTTGATTTCTCACTTTCTGTCTCTCTCTCTCTCTCTGCCTTTCTGGCGATTGCATGTGCCCTATAGCAAAAAAAACTCTCCAAAAGAAAAAAAAACCTGGAGAGGTTTCATTACCGAGTCCCTGAAAAAACTATTGGGCTGGGGCCAGCAGGTGGCATGGTGGTTAAGGCACTAGATTACTGCAGTTCGAGTCCTGGACCAGGTAGCTTAAAAAATCATGAAACATATATATGTAAATGTTAAACAAACAAACAAACAAAAACTATTGAGTAATTGGGAAAGTCATGACACAACACACTTTTGCATAGAAAATACATCATGACTTTCTCGACAACCTAATATTTTAATCAAATGAAGACCATTTTCTGGGTCTGTTAACATTCGGCAGATTAAAGTGTTTCTCCCATGCTTTATGGTGTTAAATTCGGGCCTACTTAGTACTGTTAAGTTTCTTGTTAGGGTGGGGTCACTTGTGACAGAAAATGAAATAAGTTGACAAACTGAGAAGCAGCAATTAGAAGTCAGAGTGGCTAGAGAAAGTGTTGCAAGAGAAAGGTGGGATGTCATGGAAAGGCAGCTCTCTCTAACATTGTGCCTCGCATCATGTTCATGGCTTTGGTAAATTTCTAAAGTGTGACTAGAGGCTTAGAGGGCTTCCTGACAGTTTTGTTTACTTACAGGTACATGGACAGAAAAACTGTTTTCAGATCTAAGCACTGCAGTTCTTGGGCTCTGCATGAGCTCAAGCCAACAAGTCCCTGAAAAGCAACTAAATGTTTACTCACTCACCTGCAGGGAACTCCAGGCAGTAGCTGCCCATGGGTGGTCGGAACTGTTTCACCAGTACAATACACTCATAATGAAGAGTTCTTTGCAGCACAGGAATGACAGCTACACCTTCACCAGTAAATGACACCAGGGAAATCATTAATGAAAGGTCAGTCATGCCAGCAATCTGTACAGAGCAATCTCACAAAAAACCTACGTTTTAAGACACGTTCCCCCCCCGCCCCATTTGCCATTAGCAGTAGAAGTTAACTTAATCTATAATATTGGCAGTTAACTTTTGAAGTTATTCTCACTTAAAACTTTAATTAAAGGGCCAGCTGGTGGTAGTGTGGCTAAGATGGCTGGATCCCACAAAGTTCGAGCCCTGGATCCAGCGTTTGAGAAACAACAGGTGCATTGTGCATCCAAAATCCAGAAAGAAGGGTGAAATGGAGAAGGGACTGCAGCATTGCCTTAACTCATAGGGGTACTTTCCTTCTCTCTCTCTTTTGTGAGCACATGAGCCTTCTATCAAATTAAAGAACAAATCAGCATGCCTCTATATCATTTGATTTTTCTTGTTTTATAAAAACCTCATTTTAGTTGTCATATTCTTTTTTAAAAAAACTTTGCTAGAGGATGTGTGTGCTGGCTGGAGAGGGAGGTTGAGAGAGAGGAAAATGAAAAGTGAGAAAGAATTCCCCCCTGGGAGGATGGTCACACTGCAGTACCTTTTCCATTTCTCATTTTGGGAAAGCCTGAATACTTGCCTCGTGTGTTAATTTTAAGCCACTGAGTCTTGAACTGCACAGTCAGCCATGTGGGATCCATCACCTTAAACCACCAGGCTACTGGCTGGCCCAACTGTCATAATTTCTTAAAAATAAAACTAAAACTAAACATTTCACACAGGGTCAAGGACATTAAGTTTCAGTCTGCACGAACCTGTATACAACCATTTCAGTGCAGAAGCTAGACTGCTGGTGACTGAAGCTAGACTGCTGGGAAGTAGCAATGATCTATCGGATTTCCTTGCACTAATAAAGTAAGTTCCAGTGCTTGCATTATTTGCCAGTTAAACTGACTTTCACTGTTTTAGGGTAAAAGATCTTTTCTCCCAAGTTAGTTGGCCTTAATCAAAAGAAAAACAAAAACAAAACTGTGGGTTCTGGAGAACAGAAACCACTCGGGAAGAACATTTGACTCCTTCTAGCTGGGGTTTCTCCACTAGAATAGCAGCTGCAGCAGGCTACTGTTTACGTCCAGTAAAAACAAATGAAAACCAGGGAGAAACAAGACCTATTGCCCAACTTTCCCTAGACCCAAGGCGATTTTCTGATTGTTTCTGGGGTCTTGGCAGTCAAAGCACTCATGCCTGGCAGTGGAAGTAAACTGCATGGACGTTCTTTCCACAGTTCCATTTCCTCATCAACTTAGGTAGAAACTGGCTGGTAAGTATACAGGTGTGCCAGACAAGTTTTCTGAATTAAAGGCTCTCACCCAGATCCTTTCCACAGGATACAAAGGGCTTCCAGAAGTCACAGGATATCTAGATACAGTACACGCTTTGAAATTATACTCATTCATGTTTGGGTATGAACATTAGTACTTCTTTCCCTCAGAAACACCATTCTGAGTTTAGATAACAGGAGCGCTCAGTTACTTATGAAGAATGCTTTAGTTATTAAGCATTACAAAATTAGGAAATTTAAAGAGAAATTTAAAGAGAGCTCCAGCAATCTTAAGGTACTCTGAGAAATGTACATTTGATTTGAAGTTAGAAAATCTAAATTTAAAGATCTTGGTTATAAAAGCCCTCCTACAATCACATGAGCACGTTTCCTTTGTGAGACAGTTAAGAGATGTTTGCACTCATACCATCAGCAGTTTGTCCTTTCCGTGTTGTACGTTTCACTGTCTCCCAAGTTCTGTCAGGCAGAGAAATAAAAAAAATTATTAGAGCTAGAGAGGAGAACATTCTTAGATTTTTGGTGTACAACCAGAACTTCCTAATGCAATGCATGCAAATAACAATGTTGGCCAAGATGCCCACAACAATAAAGACCGGCATTTAAAAAGCCAATTGTGCTTTCCTATAGTGTCTGAAAATTACCAAAGAAATCTGTGGCCGCCCTACACCCAAGCCCTCTGGGTGCATCTCAAAAGAAAGCCTGCTGAGCACTAGGGCTGCAGCTTTCTCAAATACTTTATAGTCTGGATCAAGGGTCCACTGAGCAGCACAGCGGGTGATGACAGCTGTAAAGACTATTAAGCAGGTGATGCAAATTAAGCCCCTGTTGAAAACTCCAAGAACAAAAGCTACTGTGCATACTGTGAACTACTGAGAGAGCTTTTCAAAATACTTGATCTAGGGACCAGCAGTTAATGTAATGGCTATGTCGCTGGACTCCCATGTAGTCAACTGCAGTTCGAGTCCTGGACCCAGTGGCTTAAACTCACGGCAGGCACATGTGCGTGTGTGCCCAAGATACCAAGAGAAGAATGAAGGAGAAGGGATTGCGGCGTGGCCATCCTCCCTGGGGGGTGATTTCTCGATTTCTGTCTCTATCTTGCCGGTGAGTACACGCACCCTATAGCAAAAATCTCTCTCTCAAAAAAAAAAAAGACCTAAACTATGAAAGTAGGACTTTCCCATTTATTAATCAAGGAATTATTAAATGTAGGCAAGTGCTCTATTTTATAAGTGTGAGATCTTATCTAAGGGGAAAAATGGTTCCTAGAGGAAAAAGTGAAGTCAAATGATAGCAAATTCCTGCTCCCTTTTATGACTTTATTCCTGGTTAGCTATTTGTTTCTCTGGCTGTGTTACCTACTTCAGCTTTTTGGTAACATCTGTGCTATTCTACTTCCTCTCCCAGGAGCATTGGGCAGGGTTGTATGGAAAATCCAGCTACTGGAACAGTCATGCTGTTTAAAGGGAGAAAGGCACTAGAGGAAAATTCCCCCTTCACTCTCTTATTCCTAAAATAGAAAAAAGCAGTGGTAAGAGACAAGAATGGAGAAGCAAACACTTTTAGGATCTCTTCTAAATGGGGAAGACATTCAGGTGGCTCTGGGGATTGGCATAATAAAGTAATCAACATCTGTATCCCAATAGTAAGGGTTACAAGATATACTACTTCAAGGAATCCATATATATATAAAACATATATATATATACATATATATATAAAACATACACACACACACACACACACATATGTACATATATATTTATATTTTAAAGCTGGGTTTGGACCTTGCCAGATTTCTATTAAATTTTTTTTAGATATTTAATCTGGCTTTAAAAAAAAAACAAAACTTTTGAGGCTAGCAGGCGACATGGTAGTTAAAGGCACTGGACTCCTTCGTGGCTGACAGTGGTTCGAATCCTGGACCTGGCGACTTGCTTTCTCATTTTCCCTCTCTCTCTTGCTCTCGTCCTATCACTCTCTGGACAAAATTAAAATAAATACATAAAGTTAAATAAAATAATTCTTAAAAAAAGAAAACTTTCTGTAAACTGTTGATCTTGCAGCATTATACCCACATTCAAAAGGGCAAATGTGTTGGAATGAAGCTATGAAATCAAACAGACTACTATGACAACTCACAGCAGCCCAACATTCCTGTTAGTAGCAAGAAGCCAACCAATAAGCAGTTCTGGTAAGTGAATGAAACAGATTGCAAGAGATCAAACACCTTTTGGCATAGCTCTCTCTGCTGCCTCTTAAGGTTAGTCCTAAAGACTGAAGGTAGTGCTGGGAAGAGCACTGAAGGTCCCATCCCAGATACACTAGGAATAAGGGAAACAAAAAGAGTAGCATCATTATAGTGATTATGATGAATTACATAAGCAGTAATGAGCTATAAATTATGAGCAATAAAATATGAATGCATCGATATGAAATACTATATTGATAGAATGAGAATGCCTTTGAGAGCTCCAGCAATCTTAAGGGACTCTGAGAAATGTACATTTGATTTGAAGTCAGACAATCTTAGTCTCTACTTAGCTATCAGCTAAACCCAAAGCTACCACCTCTTTTCCCATTTGTAAAACTCAGGGATTAAGAGTATGTTATCTTATTAACTCTTCTGGAAGTTTTCTACTTCTAGTTAAGTTACTCCATTCTTCAGTCTTCCTTGTTCCAGCAAAGCCTGTTTTGTTTTCTTCCCTTTAGTAGACTAACATGAAGTAGAAAGGGTAACAAACGATGACAGCGTTGTCTTGAATGTCAATAAACAGACATACTCCTAACATATTTTCATACTTTGAAAATTAGTTCCATATCCTCTTCCACAGTTGAGAAAGTAGAACAAAAGATGCTCTAGCTGCTATTTTGTACCTTATATACATGCTTTTATCTCAGGTGATAGACAATGTATTTTATAAATTTATAAATCATGGCCTATTGGAAAGTATGAAGAATCTTTAAAGTTTGATGTTTTGGTAGGAAATATTAATAGTTTTCATAAATATTATGTAAATAATATTTTTTCCTCTTCCTCTTTGGAGGCCAGGCAGAAGGCTTATGTATGAAAGAATGGAGATGAACATGTTATAAATTGGCTGCATAAATATGGTAGTTTGTTAGAAACTTTAGTTTCTAAACTAATGAAATAGATTCTTTGGAAGTGAGAGACAGACATGAGTATTTTGAAAATAGTCCTCAACTGATTCTGATGCATATCCCTGCTTGAGAAATGATGGTAGGGAAGACAGTGAGTCAGGTGAAGAGATGAGCTGGTGAGAACCAACACATGCTCTTTACACTAATTATAGTAAGGACTATATTTTATGTTACAGATTTAACTTTATAGCAAAAAGGAAACCGAACTATATCAAGATGTATCTCAGGGGCCAGCAGGTGGCATGGCAGTTAAAGGTGCTGGATTCCCACACTGCTAACCGTGGTTTGAGTCCTGGACCTGGCAGCTTGCTTTCTCTCTCTCTCTCTCTCTCTCTGTCCCTCTGGTCAAATTGAAATAAAGTTAAATAAAATAATTCTTTAAAAAAAAAAAGATATTTCTCTAAGGCTTGGGCCTTGCCACATTCCTGTATTGGGTTTGGCCACTATGAATCTCACATTTATTAGGTTGTTGGAAAAGTTATGATGCATTTTTGCATAGAAAAATATGTTATGACTTTTTGGACAACCCAATAATTCTTATTTGACTTTTTTTTTCTTTTTAAATCTTGCAGAGGGTGGATGACTTTCCCAGAGAGAAAGAAAGAGAAGGGGAGGGAAAGTGAGGAAATACTCTCCACAAATGGGGAGTGGTCATGTGGCACTCCCTTCTCCATTCCTCCCTCCTTTTGGGGTTTTTGGCAAGCACACACATGTGCCAGGCCATTTCTCAAGCCCCCAGGTCTGAGACATCATACTTTTAGCCATGTGGGACCCAACCCCTTAACTACTAAGCCATACGCTGGCCTCTTACTTGACGTTTGAGTTATTGGGATTAGCACATGGTGTAATGGTTACATCCCTGGACTCCCACTTGGTCGACCATGATTCAAGTCCCAGACCCGATGGCTTAAAACTCACACCAGAGGGCACTGGATTCCCACATATGGCTGACTGTGGTTAGAGTTCCAGACCTGGTGGCTTGCTTTCTCACCTTCCCTCTCTCTCACTCTGTCCCTCCCTGGTTAAATTAAAATAAATAAATAAAGTTAAATAAAATAATTATTTGGGGGCGGGGGGAACCCCTCATGCCAGGAATGTGTGTGTGTGCATGTGCAAGATCCCGAGAGAACGATGGAGAAGGGACTGCGGCGTGGCCATGCCCCCCAACCGCCAGCCCTGGGGTAGGGGCGTGGGGTGGGTGATTTTTTCACCTTCTTTCTCTCCCTGTCTCTCTGGTGAGTACCTGCTCCTATAGCAAAAATCTCTCTCTTAAAAAAAAGAGTTCTAATCTCCCATTGTGTTGATAATCAGTGTGCCTAGCTTTCTTACATTCAGGTGTTAATTCAATAGTGCTGTGGATGTTTTCCACAGCTCTGCAACACTGAGCATTACTAAGGCTTTTACTAGCTTAGTAGATACAATCAAATGTCTAAATATTGACAAGGCCAGGAATTTTCACCTTGATGACAGAAAAAGCTCTTCACAAACTCTTATTTGATCACTAAGCAAATAGCTAACTCTTATTGGATCACTTAATAAATAGAATCCTTTCTTTTCTTAAGAGCTTTTGGCCTTAGGGCATGTGTACTCACTGGAAAGAGAGAGAGACAGAGACAGAGGGAAAGTGAGAAATCATCCCCCAGGAGCCAAGCCACAATCACTTTCCCCCTGACCACCAGTCTTGGGCACACAAATACATGTGCCTGGCGTGATTTTCATGTTACCAGATCCAAGACTCAAACTGTGGTCAGCCATGTGGGAATCCAGTCATATAGCCACTACTCCATCTGCTGGCCCTAGAATTCCTTATATTAATGAATTTGTATCATGTTCTGTAGATCCTAAATTTAGTTATATTTTCATATTTTATCATTGTTTTATTTTCTTTTATATTATATTTCACTAAGTAAGTACTTTATCTAATTTAATCTTTTTTTTTCTGATAACTTATAATGCCAAAAGATTACTAAACATAACACTTGGAAAATAGAATGTTAATCACACAGCTGCCATTTTTTAGCCCACAATTTTCTTTCAAGGCTTTTTGTACACATCATTTGACAGAGTTTAAAAATCATACACACAGTTTTCTATTTTATTATAAAGTTATCTTTTCCCATATTACTAGGCCATCTTCATAATCTGCTTTTTAGATGGTTGCATAGATTTCTAAAAAGAATTATTTATTTAATTTTATTATTTTTATTATCTTAACCTGCTCTAGGAAATGTGTGCTTACCAGAGAGAGAGAGAGAGAGAGAGAAACAGAGACAGAGAGAAAATGAAAAGGCAAGCTGCCAGGTCTAGGACTCAAACCACAGTCAGTCACATGGAAGTCCAGTGCCTTAACCACCACACCACCTGCAGGCCCTGTTCCATAGATTTTTACCAAATGATACACTATAACAATTAGTTCTCGGGCCGGCAAGTGGCATGGTGGTTAAAGGTGCGTGACTCCCACATGGCCAACCACGGTTCAAGTCTCAGACCTGGTGGCTTGCTTTCTCACTTCCTCTCTCTCTCTCTCTCTCTGATCAAACTGGAAAATAATGATAATAATAATAATAAATAAAATAATTCTAAAAAAAATTATTAAATTAAAAAAAATTAGTTCTCCATTTTTAAGATGCGTAGGTTGCTTTTAAATTTCTTGTCTTTTCAAATTTTGATGGGACCAGCAAGTGGCATGGTGGTTGAGGTGCTGGACTCCCACATGACCAACTGTTGTCTAAGTCCTGGACCTGACAGTTTGGGGATCACACCAGGAATGTGTGTGCATGTGCTCAAAATCCCAGGAGATTTTGGGACTGTGGTGTGGTCATCCCCTCTGGGGGTTGATATCTCACTTTCCCTCTCACTGTCTCTGTCTCACTGAAGCAAGTACATGTGCCCTATGGCAAAAAGAAAAAAAATGTATTTGATGATTTTTTAATGCATAAATCTGATTCTAAATAATAAATAATCTCCTTAGCACATTCTCAGAAGTGGGATTATTAGATAAAAGGGTACAAGATCTTTATGGCTATTGATACTTAATATAAAACGTACTTAACAAAATGCTTTTCTCCCCAATTTACACTTTCATCAGCAAAATGTAAATATGTAAGTTTTACCTCAAAAATCAGTAATAGTTGGGAACCAGCAGTTAGCGTAATGGCTATGTCGCTGGACTCCCACGTAGTCGACTGAGGTTCGTGTCCCGAACCCGGTGGCTTAAAACTCACGCCGGGCACGTGTGCGTGCGTGCCCAAGATCCCGAGAGGAGAATGGAGGAGAAGGGATTGCGGCGTGACCATCCCCCCTAGGGGGTGATTTCTCGCTTTCTGTCTCTATGTCTCTGTCTGTCTGGTGAGCGCACGCGCCCTACAGTGAAAATCTCTCCAAAAAAAAAAAAAAATCAGTAATAGTTTTGTTTTCTCTCTAATCCTTCTAATTCAGAGATTAAAAGTTGGTTTTACCAGAAGGAAGCAACATATACTGTTACATTATTCTGCTGCTTTATCAGCTTAAATCAGGCTTATCCCAGAAGTTTTAGGTCCACACTAGTCTACTTAGGGAAGAAAGTGTTAAAGTAGATTCTGGATTTTAGTTAGTCTAACAAATTTATAAGTCAGTTTTATTCAGAGATTATAAATGATCCAGTCTAACAGTGGAAACAGCTAAAGAAGATTCTTTATCAAAAACATTTTACAATGAGAACATCAAAGTTTTATGTCAATAAACAGAGACCCTAAAAACCCATGTTTTACAAGAGAAAAAAAGTTTACCTAGTTTTACCAGTAGGATCCATGTAAGTTGTCTTTTCAAGCTTGACCCATTTTCCTTCAGCAATTAACTAAAACGAAATTGGATAATACATTGAGAAACTTTCAAGCCAAGTTGGTCTTCATCTAAAAGTTTTTTCTTTCAATTGTGTGTGTGTGTGTGTGTGTGTGTGTGTGTGTGTGTGTGTGTCTGAGAAAAACCAGTCCCTGGGCATTCATACACATGTGCCCAGTGTGATTTTCAAGCTGCTGGATTTGGGACCCAGACCACATAGCTGGTCATGTGGGATTCAGCTGCCCCAACTACCATGCCACCTGCTGGTCCCAAAGTTTTTACCTAAAAAGTGTTCTTATGTCTTTTTGAGGTTTTTGAGGTAGTACTGAGAGGCTAAAAGACAAGATAGTCTTAATAACTCTTGACGGTAAGAGCAAGGGGGGCAATTGGAAGGGAAGGGATGAGGAGGTCTTTTGGATGCTCCTAGTGCTTTCTCTGATCTGTGAGCCACATAGAAATTCATCAGCAGTATGTTACTGTCAGTAATTACCCAGAACAGCAGATGGTGGTCAACCCCTCGATTTCCCAGCATGACACATTAATTTTCCTCCTAGTCTGAGGCAGCACCCAGGACTGTTCTGCACAAATGTTGAGGAGCTTAGGTTGTAAGGACTAACCTACCTGAGGCACTATACTGAACTGAGAAAAGCTGCACTGCATCTGGAAAGCAGGAGTCTTTTTCTTACTATAGTATGCCTTGCTTCTTGCCAGCAGCAGCCTAATAATTATCAGCAGATCTGTTCACAGTCAACATGGAATGATTATATAACAACAACAATAACAAATTCCAGAGTTCTAAGGTGAAGAATTTAAAATTTATCCATTGTATTTTTTCCTACAAGAGCCTTTCTAAAAGCTAGATTGAATAACATACAATATACATGGTAGTTCTTGAACTCACTGCAACTTAGGCTATACTTTGTTTTAATTTTTCTTACACATATATGTTAGGACCATAAATAAATAGCTAAGGTATAATAATTAAATATGAAATGTCTTAAGTCCTAAAACCCACATAATAAGTATTCTATCCAGGAAAACTTTCAAAATAATTACTTATTTAATTTATTATTATTTTTAATTTCCAGTAGGGCTTGTGCACTCAACAGAGAGAGAGAGAGAGAGAGAGAAGGCAAGCTACCAGGTATAAGACTTGAACCATGGTCAGCCATATGGGTGTCCTGTGCCTTAACCACCATACCACCTGTTAGCCCCTTGCAGGAAACTTTTAAGAATTAAAAATTGTTCTATCAAGTGTCTAAATCTGGGGCCAGCAGGTGGCATGGTGATTAAGGATGGCGAACTCCCACATGGTCAACCACAGTTTGAGTCCTGGATGCAGTTCGAGTCTTGGACCTGGTGGCTTGCTTTCTTCTTTTCCCTTTTTCTCTCCTCACTCTGTCCCTCTCTGATGAAATTAGAATAAATAAATTTAAATAAAATAATTCTTTAAAAAAAGAGTCTAAATCCAGTTAGACTCAATTTCACTTATATATAAAATTAAGAGGGATATACCATTGCTCCACACAAGAGCAGAAAATATCCTAGCCCCAAAACAGAGTAGGAAAAATGTTTAAAACTGTCCTTAAGAAGGAAAACAATAATTTGAAACAATAAATAGCCTATAGATCTCTTTTAAACTCAGATTTATGTTGGGAGGGAAAAGGAAAATGAAAAATAATTAATACCTCCTCTGAAATAATAGACTGTTTGGCATTCTGAGAAGACTCCTTTGGTTCTTGGTTCTCCATTTTCAAACTAATTAGTCTTTACAGTCCTCAGATGAGAAGTTGACGCTGTAAGATAATGAGATTTAAGCTAAAATTACTTTCCTGAATTAAACATTTGTCCAAGGTCATCATTAGTGAAAGTACTTAAATGGCAAAAATCTAGTCTACTATTAAGGCTGCTTCTCTCATGTGAATATCTGGGGAACTGCCCAGAGGAGAAGTAAATGCACAGGCCCTAGCCAGCACCCAGGAAAACAATAATTTGAGCTAAAAGCCATCCCCATTAGATCCAGCCCACACTAACCAGTTCGTATTATGCAGGTAGGAGGCATTTAGGTACACTTTTTTCCTTTTAACTTTTGCTGTAAGGTATGTGAGCTTGCTGGGGAAAGAGAGAGAGGGAGAGAAAGTGAGAAAGCACCCCCCAGGGAAGGCCACATGCAATCCCTTCTCTTCCATTTTCTCAGGATTTTGAGCACGTATATGCACTGGGCACGTTTTTCAGGCTGTGGGGTTCAAGATTCAAACTGTGCAGTCAGCCATGCAGGATCCAACCACCTTAATCACCACACCACTGCCTGGTTCCATGATACACTTTTTTTTTTTTTTAAGGATGGTTTATTTCATTTTATTTATTATTATTTCTTACTTTTAAAAAATGTGACTGGAGAGAGAGAGAAAGGGAAAGCAAGAAAGCAAGATGCCAGGTCTGGGACTTGGACCACAGTTGGCCATGTGGGAGTCCAGTGCCTTAACCACCATGCCACCTGCTGGCCTCCTAGATAAACTCTTAGATTTTTAACTCCAAATCTAAATTTTCCTCCAAGAGAAAGCAATGGAAAAACTAGATTCCACTCACCATGCCTACCTGTCAGCTATTGTCCCTTATCAACCTTTTACAGCTCAACCTGTTTTAGCAATTTTTTTTTTTCTGCCACAGAATGCATGTGCTGGCCAGAGAGAGAGAAAGACAAAGAAGGAGAGGGAGGAAGCACCCCCAGTGAAATGTGGTCATGCGGTAATCGTGTCTTCATTTCTCTATCCTATCGGAGCTCTGGACACACACATACCAGGCATGTCCTTCAGGCTGCCAGGATAGAACTCAAACTGTGCACTTAGCCATGTGTGATCTGGCTTCCCCAATCATTAGGCCACAGAGCCAGCTCTGTAGCTCAACTCTATAGCTAAAGATATCTCTGGGGACCAGCAGGTGGCATGGTTGCTAAGGCACTGGACTCTCACATCGTCGACCATGGTTCAAGTCCCAGACCCAGCACCTTGAAAATCACGCTTGGTGTGTGTGTGCTCAAAATCCTGAGAGGAGAATGGATGAGAAGGGAGTATGGTGTGGCTATCCCCCTGGGGGGGGGGGTTACTTTCCCTCTCACTGTCTCTTTGGCAAGTGCATGTGCTCACTCTGGAAAAAAACTAAAAAAAGAAAAAAAGTCTACATTGGCTATTTCTACCTCCTATCTCCTATTTTCCACCAGCTTCCCAGCTTTTTCTTTGTGCTGCAGTTTACCCATAGCTTCAGCCAGCCTCCATCAGGGCTGCATAAGTACTGACACAAGGATACCACAGGATGCAAACCCAGGACCTTCTAGCAAGCCTTCAGCATTGTGGAGTGTTAAGTAACACTTTACATGTATATTTCAGTGGCAATAAGTACACTCATATTATTATATCCATTTACTTTTTAAAAGTTTAATAATTTCCTCCATAAGCAAGAGAGGGAACTCCCAAAAGCATCTTAACATCACGATCCACCCCCAGCCTTCAGCTAACCCCACACCATAAGCAAGCAGTGTGTCCAGTGTATTTAGGGAGGTCTCAGGCCTGAACTGGGAACCTTCCATGTGGGACTGCCTCAGATAGTCACCTTTTACCAATGCACCAACATCCAGTCCCTACTTTTAAGTTTCAACATGTATCAAAATTATAGTTGCACAGAGTCAGCTAGCACTATGAGCTAGCAGATTCCTGTCACATTTGTGTGTGCTTCTGTTTCCTCCTTCTTGATTCATTCTTTTTTTTTTTTTTCACCCTGTCTGTCTGCAGATATTTTTTTCCAACCTCATAATTGACAGTCTGGCTACATACAGAATTTTGAGTTGAAAACAATTTTCTACAAGAAAGTTGGAGGCACTACTTAGTTGTCTTACTTCTGGGGTTGCTATTGAAAGCCCGAAGCTATTCTTGATCCCCTTTCCAGGTGACCTGTTTTCTATCTCTGGAAGCTGGTAGTCAGTCACGTCTTCATATAGGTATCATGTACTGAGCACTCAAGTGGGTGAGTCCTTTTGATCTGGAAATTTCACACTGTGCTTCTTCACAGGGAAGTTTTCTTGAGTTACTTCACTAATAACTTCCTCCTCTCATTTTCTGGTTTTTTTTTTTTTTTTTTTTTAAGAACTGTTATTAAGCTGTTGGGCCTTCTGTACTGATCTTCCCTCATCATTTTTGCTCTAATTTTCCATTTCCTTGTTATCTTACCAACATTTCTCAATGGTTATTTTAATTCTTCAGGACACTTCAGTTCCGTAGTTCCCTAACCCATCCCACTCCCTAACTTTAGCCTCAGGCACAATACAAATCATCAAGTATTCACTCTCTTACTCACTGTCTTTGACAAAAAAGTGCCTTCTTTTTGTTTCTACTCAAAGTAATTATTTCAATATCTACCAAATCTTCTATTTTTTATCTTCAAAAGTAAGCTTCCCTATTCTAAGGCATGATCAAGAATCAAGCACATACATGATTGACCAGCTTAGGTAACCTGGCCAAAACCTGGTGGAGTTCTGGTGGCAGGTCCACTCGAGGTGAAGTCAGGCCCTAGGAATACTGCAATGGGCAGAAGAGGAAGTACTCCCTGCCTCATGGTCTCACTTTCTGGTGAGGAGGAAAGGAGGGGGAGAAAACGTGAGGAACAATTTGTCAGTGACTGGAAGCTTTATCAAAGTTTCATAGAAAAAGATTAAGAATAAGAAGGCCGACCCATAACACAGTGGTTAAGCTCTGCACATGGGGGGTGGGGGTGGGGTGGGCAGATCCCACATGGTCACAATCCCAGTGGCTTGAAAAAATATGCCAGGTGTGTGTGCACGCATGTGCCCAAGATCCTCTCAGGATGGAGAAATGATTGCGGTATGACCACGCACCTTTGGGAGATGCTTTCATTTTCTTTTTCCCTCGCAAGTGCACTGCCCTGTTATATTACAAAACAAAAGGAGGAGGAGGAGAAGCCTGGGGAAAATGTGTGTGTGAGGGAGTAGTAATCTACATGGAGCGATTGAGTAAGGTCTCTTTAATTTGGTGACATTTGAACAGAAACTTGAAAGTAGTAAAGAAGAAAGCCACATAGATGTTTAAATATTTAGAAACAGCCATTTAGCATATTGAATTTTTAATAGAGCCCCACTAAGAGAACAGGCAGTAATCAGTTATTCCTTTGAAAGTATTTCAGATGATAACTTATTAGGTAAACTTTTCCTTGGCATTAGTTGAAACAAAGAATTTACATTATTATAGCAACCAAAGTACTGTGCTGACCCAGATAAAAGTAACCAAAGGTAGAAAGGAAAACTCGGGTCCCTGTCTGTACCTGCATATTCTATATCCAGATAAAAGAACTATACTTAGATTTTTATCTTCTGCATATTCATTCCTTTCTATTAATAAGACAAACACCACAGAAGGAAACTTACCTTTCAATTAAGAGAAAACAACTTCTAGGCAATTAAGTAGTCCCATTTAGGACATGAAATAATTTGCCTAGAATGGTAAAAATTCTTAGATGAAGTCAAGTTTCTAACTCCTTTTTAAAAGCAACACACTAAGCCCAAGTAACTTTCCTGTGTAGATTCAAACTTCTGAAACACAGGCAACTGCAGCCCTCAAACATGTAAGCACTACTGGAAGGTCCTAAAGGAAGAGACAGATGACCTCCAGTTTCCTCTACAAAAAGTTTTTCATACACACACACACACACACACACACACACACACATATATATAAAGTTTATTTACCCCTTTCATGAACGAGAGAGAGAGAGAGGGAGTGAGACAAAGATAGAAGCAGAGGAAGAGAACCCCAGAGTCCTGACGCTGCAGTCTACCATTCTCAGTCAGGCCCGGATGGCGGCACATGTGTGCCCCGTGTACTCTGGGACCTCTAGACACAGATCCAGAACCCTTCCATGCAGGTCTGCCTCAGTCCCAGTATACCAGTGCACCACGGTCTGGCCCAGGGTGTTTAACTGGATTCCCAGAAACAGTCAGTAGAACATAACACAGAAGAGCACAGTGGTCCTCACCCACCACCGTCTGAACTGACTGATCTCCTGTCTTTTCCATTTCCTTGTTATCTTACCCACACTTCTGAATGGTTATTTTAATCCTTCAGGACTCTTCAGTTCTGTAGTTCCCTAACCCATCCCACCCCCTAACTTTAGCCTCAGGCACAATACAAATCAAGTGTTCACTCTCTTACTATTAGGGGCAAGGGGGCAACCATTCCCCTTTAGAGTGACATAAACTTAAAGACAATTAAGTTTGTTTTGCGTCCCATTAGGTATGTATCTGCATAGATTCCCTAAGATTTTCAAAGGATCTTTTGAGCCCCCTGAGGTATATATCTGTAGAGGGTCCCTCAGATTTTCAAGGGTTGCTGACTGCCAAAAAGGTGAAAAAGTATTATTCTAAGGGACAGTTCCTCATCAACTGCTCTTCGTTTAACCAAGTTCTTTAACCTCAATACAAAACTATAAAGACCAATTCTCAGCACATTATAAAGCAGTCATTTCAAACAAATTGTCTTAAAAAAATTAAGTTAAAATGTTATCGAGCTGAGGGGGAGGGAGTGCTACAGACAAATTATAGGGGAAAACAGGCTGAGCCTCCCTAGGGTGAGCCATTCTGTGGAATGCAGTCAGCCCCCAGGGGAAACCGTACTCTGTATCAACCCACTGACTGTGTAAATAAAATATGGTGACTACAAGTGATTGCAAAAGTATATTCCTCACTAAGAGATTCTCAGAATGTTTCAGAAGGACTATAAAAGCATCTCTA